ATGTGGGATCCGAACCGGGGCCCTCTGGCGTCCCAAGCCAGTTCTTAACCAATGTGCCACTCGGCCGGCCCAATAAGTTTTGTTTTGTTTTAATGGAGCCCAAGCCGGACACCTCTTAAAAAGTGTTGGCAGGTAGAAGGAAAAAAAAATCACCAACATAGAATTCTAATGGAGGAAGGAAACCAAATCCATTTCTCTGTCTCTGCTTAGTTGACATATAGTCCTACATGGCAAGATAAGTCTGTCCTAGCCTTTAAGAAACCGCTGAGCATGTACCACTGGTATTTCCTTGGATATGCATCATTATTTAAATGTACTAGGGACTTCTTTTTAAAACCACTAGGAAACCCATCTGTAAAGACTGTTTTACCATGGGGTCCTCTGTCATTTAGGAGAAAGCACTCTATATGGATAAATGATCCAACTTAAACAAAAATGGCTGTACTTTCAGTACATTAAGAAAAATAGGTAGAATTGTGTTTCAGATGAATAGGAGGCTCCTTAACAATAGTAGGGACAGTCAAGATAAATCAAGTAGAGACTCAGTCAAGTTATTGGAGCTGTTCCTGTAGAAATAAGAGTAATTTGAATCAGATAGTCAGTAGCTGAAGAGATAAATACCAAATGTACATCCATCCAATTTGTTGGCCACTAGTTACCTGAAAGTGACCTAGTAGAGAAGAAGCACAGCTTCAGTCAGAAGCATAGAATTGTCTCGTGCCAGTGTTTCCATGAGCATGGACTGGAGGGTAACTTACAAACTGCACCTATGCCCTAGAGGTATTTTGTGTGGCCACCCAGAGGGCGTATAAAATTGGAATGTGAATGTGTTGGCTTCACTTCCCAGTTTGCCCCATTCTCCCCCATTCTGTATTTTCTCTAGCCCAGCCCATTCATCCGTGAGTGCTAAGTTTGTGGCCCCTCAAGACATTCGATTTTGAAGCCCATGCTCCAGACTCTTAGGCTGTTGGGATTGCCTTATCATATGTCACACACACACAAAAATGATCTAAAATGAGATTACCTCTATTTTTATTTTCCTTTTCTGCATCAAATAGGGCCATTCGCATATCAAACTGCAGCTTGCCGCAATGTTTTGTATATCGAACCTCATATGGAATGAGGAGGAAGGTAAGAGATGGATGAGATTTGTTCAGAAGAAAACGATGGGAAGGAAGGCTCTCTCAGGGAAGGCAGCGGGGCCCCTGAGATCCTGGGCAGAGGCGCCACTCACTAGGCCCCAAGCACCCAGTAGAGTTGCCTTGAGGAACCATGGGGCCAGCCCGAGGCAGCTGGACAGTTAACATGGAGCCCCCACCTTGGAGGCAACACTGTAGAAGTGGCAGCCCCTGCCCTTGAGAGAGCCAAGAAGGGTAGTGAGATGTATTTGGAGAAAATGAGAGATGAGAGTGGGTGAGGGGATAGGCCTTTCACTGTGTGCAGAGAAAGCACTTATAAGGACTGCAGGCAAGTAAGCTTATTGGAGCAGCGGGTGCGTTGGTGAGAAATGAGCACTGTGGTGTGACTGGTGAAGCAGTCAGGCGTCAGGAGGCCTCTGTTGATCAGAGGCTCTCCACCTTGGCCGTGCGTTACACTCTGCTGGGGATTTTCACACCAGACCAATTACTTATAAATCAGAACCTGTAGGGGTGGGCTTCAGGCATACATGTTTTTCAAAACTCCCCAGATGATTCCAGTGTACAACTACGGTAGGGTAGCAAACAGATGCAGGAGTGCAGTGGGCCTCCGTGCTGGGTTGGCTGCATAGAAATCACTTGGAGAACTTTTTAAAATGTAGCTTTCTGGGCTCCACCCCTAGAGATTCTGGTTCCTTGGGTCTAGACAAGGTCAGTGCGCGCGTGAGTCAACGGCGGCTCTCCAGCGGGGAGGAGGGAGTCCAGGAGGAGTCCTCCGCTCAGCAACTGTGTCCAGAGCAAAGCAGGCGAAGAAACTGGATTCAGCATGCAGCCCTAGCGTCCCCGTACAGTCCGGGTGCCAGGGACACAAGGCGGCCCTCGTGGAGGTTCTTGTTGGAAGATAGACCAGAGCGGTGTGAAGCTGGAACCTGCCACAGGCTAACGAGAGGCAGCAGGCAGTGCTGGACGGTCCGTGGAGGGTGGAGGAGGACAGAAGGGGGAAGACAAAACCTGTTGGGCTAGGAAGAGCCTGGCTTGGTGTGTCCAGAAAGAAGGGATGGAGCTGGGGCCTGATGGCAGAGGATCTTGTGCCAGGCTGAAGAATCTGACCTGGACCCGGTGGTCCATGGAAAAATTAATTCAGGAGCAGAACCTGGGATGGACTGCAGGAAGGAGGTTCAGGAGGCAGAGAGACCAGTTAGAACGCGTTGGAGAATCCAAACATGAGGAGATCCAACTACACTGGGGAGAGTGGAGGACTGGGGGGGTGGATGGGTGGAAGGGGTGAAGAGTGAAGGACACAGGTAAGATGCTAGATCCTTGATTGTGTTCCAAGGAGAGTGGCTGCCTGGGACATGTGCCCAGTAACCTATTAGCTTTGATCTCTTAGGTTCACAAGAGCGCCAGGATAAATTACGAGAGATGGGCATCGTAGATATTCTACACAAGCTGAGTCAGTCACCAGATTCAAACCTTTGTGACAAGTGAGTATCAAAATAAAAGGGCCTTGCTTTGGGGTATGTTGTGTTCTTTTACGAAAGAATTTGAATTGCTTAGTAATTCACATGACCAAACCTAAAATCTTTTAGATCCTTGGATTCCCTTTCTAATTTTCTGTGAGCCAACTGTGTGACATTTGAGTAAGAGATAAACTACTTCTTATTTATAACAATTATATATAATTATTATTTATTGCTAATTAATTAGCAAATTAACAAAGACTCTCGTCTTACTCGGAATTATCGTGAGCCTGGGCCATCTTAGGGGGTACCAGGAGAGGATCCAGCGGCTACTCCCTTCCTTCCCTTAATCTTTAGAACAGAAATGCATGTGGCCTTTTGGAAAGCAGAAAGGAAGGCCAATGATGAAAACATTCAGACGCTCAAAACTTCACTGCGCACCCGCCTTGTGCCAGCCTGGCCTGGCTGCTGGGGATACAGCAGTGAGCACTGTGGAGTCCTGGTCCTCAAAGAGCTCACCATTCACTGGGAGAGGCAAGAGTCCTAATCAGAGACCTCTCTACCCTCACAACAACCAAAAGTGTTCTTAGCTGTGTACCCCCTTCTAACACAGCTTTCACTTTCCAGCTCACTTGTGTACGTAACAGCAGCAAGGAACATCAGCGTCTTCATTCTCCAGACTCTGAAGCATAGCGAAGCCTCTCATAGCTTGGCCCTGCCTTTCCTGTCCCCTGTGTTCTCCCTCAGCCCCGTGCCCACTTGTACCTGCCCTCTGCAGCACCACAGCCTCATGCATTTACACGTCCTGTTTCATCTGATTGGCCATCCCAGTCCCCTCTCCTCTGAACCCTCATTCATTCAACAGATGTTGGTTGGTTTTTTTAATACTAACCTCTACCGGATACTGTTTTAGGCACTGGCAATATAATGGTGAATAACATTGATAGCATCCTTGCCCTCATGGAACTTACACTCTAGTACAGAAGACAGGCAAAAAGCAAATGAATATATAATATGATAGCAGGTAATGAGAAGTACTATGAAGAAAACTAAAACAAGGTAAGGGAATGGAGAGCAAGAAAGTTTCTTATAGGTTAGTAAAGGCCTCTCTGAGGACGTGACATTTGATCAAAGACCTGGATGAAATGAGAGTGTTTGCCAGGCAGATGTTTAGAGGAAGAGTGTTCCAGGCAGAGGGGACGGTGAGCTCAAGGCCCCGAGGCAGTAATGAGCTTGGCATGTTCGAGGAACAGCAGGATTACCGGTGGGGCTGGAGAGAAAAAGGGAGAGCGATAGAAGTGGGAGGTGATGGGGAGCAACTGAAGAAAGGGCCTTGTAGGCCATAGTAAAGACTTTGGGGAATTTTTAGCGAAAGAGCCATTATCTGATCTGAATTTTTAGGAGATCACTCTTGCTGTGTTCAGATCATTTATACTAGGGCAAGAATGGAAACAGCGAGACCAGTTAAAGGCTGTTGCCATGTAGGTAAGAGGTGAGGGTAGTAATGGTAGAACTATTGAGAAGTGGTCAGATTCAGGATTTAATCTAAAGGTAGAGCCAACAGGATTTGCTCAGGAATTCAATGTAGGACGTTAAAGAAAGAGAGGACAGGAAAAGGCCTAGAGTTTTAGCCTGAACAACTGAGTGGTGGGGGTTGACATTTACCAAAACAGTGAAGAATACAAGAGAAATGGGTAGGGATAGGGAGAATGAGAGTTCTTATTTATTCGTGCCAACTTTGGAATGCCCATTAGATATCCAAGGGGCTTGGGAGAGTGGGGCCGAGCATATACATTTGGATGGCATAGAAAGCCATGGAGTCACCTAGGAAGAATAAGAGAGGAGAGAAAAGAAGAGGGCTAGGGACCACTCTCTAGGGTCCTCCAACGTTTAGGGGAAGATAAGAAAAGATCCAGCAAAGAAGTAGAAGGAACAGCCAATGAGGCAGGCAGGGAGCCAGGCTCATAGGTATCCTGAGAACAAGGGAAGAGAATGCCTGGACAATGGCCACTTATCCTCCAGAACTCCCAAAAGCCTTGCCTGATGACATCATCCTCCACCCTACGCCCCAGGCTATGCCAGAGACCCCTTCTGTGCCTCCATAGCACCCACAGAACATAGCACACTCTCGTAGCTGTCAGCTGGCTTGTCTGCCCCACTGAGAGGAAGAGGCACTTGTAACTGCTCCTTGAGTGAATGTCTGTGCCAGACTCTGGAGCACGGGGAACTGGCCCATAACTTCCTGAAGCTTGCCATCCATTGAAAGAAGACAAATCCCTGAATAACTACTGCTCAGATGAATGTCACTTCAAAGGCAAGTCAAGGCCAGCCACATGCTGAGGGCTGGATTTGGGCTGTACCTTGAGAACTGGGACCTCCACCTCCACAGTAGTAGTAACAGCTGCTGACGCAAATGATGGGTTCTCTGTCAGCCTCGCTCTTCTGGCCGAGAGCTTGGTTGTTCCCATGTTTGTTCAGAAATGAAAAGAATTCTGCTGCAAATTATCTCTGAGATGACCTGGACACTACAAGAGGCCTCACCAGCTTGAAATGGGATAGGTTTGAACCCTGGCCTACATTGCTTAGACCAATCTGGTGCTATTTTGCCAAATTTGTATGGCACATAAGTTTTCAACAGTTCTTAAACTCCCTTAAAAGAATCAAGGTCTGAGCTGCCCTAAGTTCTCTAAAGAAAGATGATCTTGCCTCCAAAATCATCCATCTGAAAGACTCCTTAGATAATGATAAATAGCAGAAGGAATAGGTCATGGTCTTGGAGGTCTAATACAATCAAATATAGCCAACCCTTGAGACAAAGACCCACAGGGAGTCTGAATTGGCAGTTTTAAAGAGTTAATACAGAATTTCAGTCAAGACCCTCTTGTGAACATTCCCGCCATGGCACAGTGACGCCTGTGACCTAAAGAAGACATCTCTGAGGTTCCTTCTGTCTCTAAGGCTTTGTGAGCCTTTGACGTTCAGATGAGGAGCTATTGCTGACTAGCTGTCTCCACCTCAGGCTCAGGTGGCCTCAGGTGAGGTGGATGGTCATGAAGGGCTAGCATGTAGCATCGTTAAACTTTTACTGTAAGAAAAGACTTTTAGACTCCAACTCACTCATAACTTGGAGACAGTCTATATAGAGCTTTCTGTTCTGATGAATTGGACTGTTTCCAACTATCGTCTTTCTAAGAGTCTTAGATAATTGCAAGACTATCCCTTAGTATACCACTTTTAAAACTGTAGGTCGTATGTAGTCCTTTGCTATATAGAAACTGCACTTGAGTCCAGCTATCACATGCCCGATCTACTTGGTATACTTTCATCAGCTAATACTAACTGAAAATTTTAGCCTTTTCTCCCCTAAAACCTGACTTCCTAATTCCCACAATTGCAGCATCTTTAGAAACGTTACTAAGCTTATAACAAAAATAGTAAAGGAGGCCTCCTCAGTCCCAGCTCAAAGGAAGACACTTTTACAAGGATCAGGATAGGTCAAGTCACTGCCCGTGTTACATCTTTTCTTCTTCAACTAGCTACCTTCTTTCCCAGTTACCATAACAAACCCACATCTCACATTGATCAGCATCATCAGGCATGATGAAAAGAGCAAGATGAGACTGTAACTGTCTTCCTCAGTTTTGAGACATGGGAACCAGGACAGCCTCATCCCATGAACTCTTGGCCCCTTGCACGGACCTTCTGATCACCTGAACACCTTCCGTGGCCATTTTTCCTCCTCCTTTCCCAGAACCCTAAGTATCCGCCCCGGTGTCCTGTAGCACTAGCTAAAACCTGCATGGCGATAGAATAACATAAAGAATTCCAAATCCATGACAACTATATGCCAGTGACAAAGGAAAACTGGGCTGCAGCTGATGTAAGGGCAAGGACAGCCCTTGCTAAGAGAACCACAGGACGGGGAATGTAGTCAGCATGTGCTGGAAGTGTGTGCCAGCTACATCTCTGCCCCTTAGGGTGGGTGTCCAGCTGGGCTCACCCCAGTTCCCTTTGGACCTAACTTTTTAGGCTTCCCCCACTACCATCTTTGAGCCACAGGTTGGGTTTTTTTTCCCTTTAATTATGCTTCTGAGATGATGGCTAACAGGAACTTTGTGATTTCAGGGCCAAGACGGCACTGCAGCAGTACCTGGCGTGACAGGAGCGCCCTGGGCACCTGCGAGCATCCCCATATCCTTGTTAAAGGAAGTACAGGAACTAGCCTCATTTGATTCCTTCTATTTGCACAAGTCACCTTGGACTGCAGGGAGCTGTTTTGCAAAAGCAATTTGGTAGGCTTAGATCTCAAATTCATCTTGAGAACATATTTTTGAGGTAGTAATTTCCTCAGAGGACTATTGTGTTTTGTTTTTTTGTTTGTTTGTTTTTCTGAGCTACCTGGACTCTTTATTAGAACAATCAATCATTTTTCTTTGGACCTACAATTTTTTGCCTATGCTGCAGCCACTTTGTGAGTGAGGATGAATGTATGTGCACACACAGGTGTGTGTGTGTATGTGTGTGTGTGTGTGCACGTGGGTCAGGATGAATGGATGTGTGTGGGGGGATACCTCAAGTTTTTCTTTTCTTATTTTGTGTGAAAATCTCTTTTCTACAGATTTTCCAGGGTTTAAGCATTGCTTGCTGTATAAAAAACTTTACTGAATTATATACAGTTTGAATGAAATGTTATTTTAAAAACAAAACAATTGTTAAGTGTTCCATAAAGGTTATGTTGAATTTTGGTCAGATGAATATTTGTAAGTAAAAAATATATGCATTTCTGAACCTCAACTTACATAGATTTTCTTTATAAAAAAAGAAGAAAAAGAAAAAAAAAGAAAAGAAAAAAGAAAAAGAAGAGGTTGGTGATAGTTGGCCTGAATAATAGGCACGATATATGGTGCTGTGCAAAATAGTAAGCTAGCATCTTACTGCCGTCAATATCAGCCTAATTCAATAAGCTCTCAGGCTTCCAAGTCGGATGGACAGGGCGGAATAGAGTGAGGGGACAAATTCACCATAGGTGTTTTGAGACATCAAAGGGAAATATAACTACTGATAGCAAAAACCCAGCCGTGACTCTGGCGGGCTACCTTTGGCAGTCACGGGGCACCAGGAGCCTCCCAGCTGCCCCAAATCCTGTCGTTGGTGTAGCAGTATCTGGCAGAATTTAGAACCAGTCATGGAACCTTCTGCTCAAATTAAAGTAGGTCATCACTTCCTGGAAACAAAATCCAATCACCTTGTACTTCCGGAAACAGCGTCTCTCACTGTGAAACTAAAGAACGTTCCGCAGATCCATCTGTGGAAAGAAGCAAATAACAGGATAGTTTTAAAAGCTGTTTTTTCTCTTAGTTCACTCAGCAATTCCATAGTAGTCATTCAGGACTGCTATTCAGTGTCCTTTTGTAAAATGGAATAGAAATTTTAGTAAGAGATGCGGCTAAGATCTTTTCCTGCGCGAAGTCCAACGCACTGAAGTTTGAGAGAAGGAAAGGGACTCTCCCCCAGGAGGACTGAAGATGACTTCTTTTCACAGCGAGCACTGCTTAGCCCTTCTGCAACCCTTAGCTTGGCGCCTGCTCCAACTTCTGGGTCAGCTTCAAAGTGAACTCAACAGTGGTTGCTCTTGACTGTTTGAAGGTAGAACCAGCCTTCCTTTTCCCTTTGTAAAAGGTCAGCGGTATGTGGCCCAGAAGCAAGGTCTGTGGCCCGGAAGCAAGGTCTGTGGCCCGGAAGCGAGGTCCATGGCCCAGAAGCAAGGTCTGTGGCCCGGAAGCGAGGTCTGTGGCCCGGAAGCGAGGTCCATGGCCCGGAAGCGAGGTCTGTGGCCCGGAAGCTTGCCGTGAGTGGGTGCCACTGACAGGTCCCAAGCACACCAGCCGCTCCCGGGGAGGATGCTCGGCTGCAGCCACCCCACCACCATCCTGTACCTTCCTTGGGAGATTCAAATATGTTTGATTGCAAATGAATGTTTTTAAATGTATTTAATGCAATTTTTCCTGTTCTCAACATGACCACCCAAGATTCAAACACAGAGATTTCCAAGTTGTTATTTTTTTCAGAACATCACTGATTTAAAAATCTGTCACAACAGGGATTTGGGTTTTGTGCAGCTATCAGTGTGCTTATGTGAGAAAGCCAGTTTAAAGAAAATCTAGTTTATTGGGAATAAAGCCTTATTTAGGCCCACTCCATTGACTTTTGTAGCCCTGAGAAAATATCCTTGGTTGGCATTTGTAACACAGAACACTATAGAATTGGTATTTCAAAGTACCGGGTAAATATGAAGAAACCAATTATGAATTGCTGAGACAATCTTGAACCCAGGTAGCGTTAGAAAGCTGAAGGCCCAATGAAATAACACTTTCACACTTCAACTCTGTGGGTAAATCTTGCCTGTGGCTTTAAACAGATGCTCAGAGAAAAAGTGCTTTAATTAACTCTTCTGATTTGAATGAAGGAAAATGTATTTATTAAAACAAAGCTGTTTGCTGCTTTACACAGGTGCAGTGTTCAGTCAGCAAGGAGGTGGGAGGAATGGGACCTTATCTTGTGTCTCCACCCAAGTTCTTAACTAAGCTCCTCGCTCTAATACTGCATTCTGTTTCTCCTTTTGTGCCCTGATTGTAACCGAAGACTTATGAACTAGAAAAGAATGTCCAATTTAATAAGTTGCATTTTTTTTCTTAAGCACTTTATGCAGAACAATACATGTTCTTCTGGTAGTGTTTGGATAATATGATTTTAACACATGCTAATAAAAGCCAAGAAAGATCATGGCAACTTCTATAAAGGAGTCTGTTTTCCAAATGTCTAGAACATTAGGAAACATTAGAAAATAATGTGTACTGGCTTCTGCAACCTGTGATTCTTGGTGAATGAGAAACTGGGACGTGACTTTGCATTTCAGAGGGGGTGGCCCATACCCTAGGGTCACTACAGCTTCCAGGGCATCTGCAGCAGTCTGGGGACCCCCTTCTTCTTGGCCTCCTGAAGGCAAGCAGACGCTTTCCAGGTGGCCACTCCCAGCCCCCAGCATCCCGCCTCCCAGTGTTGTTTCCACCCGCTCCGTCCTTCTCTTCCTCCTGTGTATGCCACACCACTGCCACCACCCCCTGGATGAGGGCCCAGAGTTTGGCAGATGCCCAGCTGCACAGTGCACGAGCAGCTGCTGTCCCTCTGTGATGATTTCACTCACCGCTTCCTCCTTTTCCCCGTCCCTAAAATGTAGAGAAGCACCTCCTGTCTCCGGGTCTCACCAGATATAGAGAGGAAGCCAAGGACACGCACCCCAGACCCCAGAACATGGCGGGGAGGATGGCGAGGTGGTTGGCAGGGGAGGGAATTCCCCTGCCACACAGGACACTTGGCAGTGAGGCCTGAGAAAGGAGGGAAGGAAAGGGGGACTGACCCCAGATCCTGATGGAGAGCCAGCGGAGCGCTCCCAACCTCTTGCCACCTGGGATAGGGCTGGTGGTGCCTCAGCCCTGCCCCTTCACACCGACTTTTTCTGATTGCTGGGCAAAGAGGCACATGTCAGTTCCCAGCATGAGGGGAAATTTGGTCCATGATATGGCTACAGAGAAAGCTGAGGAAACCCCCACCGCCAAAGGCCACATTATGGCCTGCCCGAGCCGCCTGCCTTTCCTCCCTCTATCTGCAGCCTCTGGCTCCTGGCCTTGTCTGCCAGGCAGTCAGCCTTCTCGCTGAGGGAGGGCCAGAGCCAGTCTTCAAGAAGCCACCTCCTTGACTTCCTGGAGCTGGGCCTGCCCGCCACCCTGTCAGGCACTCACACCCAGGAGCGAAGAGGCCTTAAGGTCCCGAACAGTGGCCGTCTGTAGCCCCTGGTTTTCTTCTGTTGGAGGAAGCCAACCCAGGGTCTCTGCCAAGGAGTCGGGTCCTCAGAGACTGGGCTGACATTGTCGCCACTGTCAGGAGCCTTATCTCCCCCTCCCACTCCCATTCCTTCTGCCATGAAACTTCTGGATTCTGAGAAAAGAAATACCCTACATGTAATGAAAGGAAGGGGTGTGTCAACGCCCCTCCCACCAGCCTGTCACCTCATGCCCCTCCTGCTTTTTCCCTCTCAGCCCTGCCACTCCGAGCTCCTTCCTGGGAAGGCTTAGAAGTCATCACACACACCAGCACATACCACCCGCCACCCGCCTCAGGCCCAGGTCCCTTACCCAGTCTTCCTCTCTGCCCTCTGCTCTCAGAGACTTTCATTGCTCCGTTTCTCATCTGATCTATCTGGTGATGGAAGATCCTTGGCTTCCCAGCTTCTGGGGAGATCAGATAGCTTGTCAGCTGGGTACACCCCCAAGTAGCTCATTCAGAGGCACACAACACCCATGGTGTAGACGACCAGGCTTAGGGCTCTAGTGCTTGTCCAAGGCATTTATCAGCTCTGAGGTGGGCACAGAGCCATTGAGCCCACTCATAAAGGGACGAGCACAACCCCATGGTGGTCCGGGGGTCAGGAACAGTGCATTCAACTGTCCTGACTTATCCTGTCAGGGAGGGCTCCATTGTTGCACACGGGTCTGTACAGATGCCGATGAACAGAACAGGCATGTGTGTTTCCATCCCGAGGTGACAGTCATGGGAAATGCAGCCACCACCCAATGTCTTAAGCTCTGGTCTCCAGCTTCACACAGCCTGACTCATCCTTCTATCGACAGTGCCAGCCCAGAGTGCCTCATGCTATCGGCTGCGGGAAGAGTAAGGCACCCGGGAAGAGCAGGCTTCTGGGAGCTACCTGCCTATTTAAAGAACTCCAAGTCAGGAGAGCAAGGTTCTCTGGAGAAAACCAGCAAATGAGCAGGAAGTCACTGACATTGGCCTTATGATGTAGGAGAACCCCACCTTTTGCTCAGCCAGAGAGGAAAGAGTATGCCTGGGCTTAGTAAATTTACAAACAAACCAAAAAGCGAGCTGGTAAGAGGGAATGGGTGTGCATGTTAATATTCATGGGGTAATAAGTTACTTTTCACTGAAAACCTGTATCCCTCAAGGGCACAACGATGGAGGGACGGCTAACTCAGGCAATTTAGTTAAAGCTGGAGGCA